ATGACATTATTTTACAAGTCTGCCAGTCATTACTCATATTTAGAAAATAAAAATATAATAATCTTAGTTTGAAATTATAAAATATTTTTACTCTTGTTTAGGAAATTCTTCCTATTTTTTATCATACTTTTGTATATCCTAATTTTCTACTTTTTACTCTTTTTTATTCTTTCTGACTGTTTCCACTACTCTTTAATTGTTTTCCTTACATTGCATACTTCGCTGATCATATATGATCTCGTGCCCGCATGGCACATAGAGTGAAAACTTAGAAAATGATCGATCAAAGATTGAATTTGCGAGTTGAGGGATTCTTTGTGCGTAATATATAGGCACTAATCTGTCATCTGCTTTAAGCTGATTTACTATATTAACATGCCCTCATATGCTCTATCAAGCTGGGGGAGTGAGGTCTTGGGATAGGGGATTAACCTTTTGAAACAATTAATGAATATTCCTTATTTTTATTTTAAGAAAAATTGACATGTATATTACTAATAGAGTTTTTCCGGATAAAAATATGACCAACTATGTTTTTAGACAAAAATATGACTAATCAGTGCATACAGGTCACTGTGAACTAGTCACATATATAGTGAATTTTAGAATGACAAGTCACAGTAAACTAATCACTAAATACGTCATTTTTTGAAAAATTTGAAAATAAGTCATATTTTTGTTTTTTGAATTTAATTTAGTAGAAAAGACCTTATCGTAATCTTTGTGCAAATGTCCAATGTCTAGTGGGTCAGCTGCTGTATAATGAATAGACTGTGATTTTATACTCATTTTGATTCTCTTTGGCCACGACCCTAAAATGAAACAAATTAAATCCGTTCTGCTCAACTTTAAAATACTCCGTAAGTAATACTACAGTTAAAACTAAATTATATTATGGTGGACAAATGTAGATTTGTAGACTTAAACAAACTAAATTGAAAAAAAATCAAACTAAAAATATATGTCCAATCTAATGAGTGTTTATTTTTATAATTTTCTTAAATTATGGAAAACAATGGTGATAAAATTTTATGGTATTATTGTATCAAATTTTATAACACGTTCATTTTCTTTTTAGTAAAATATTTGTTAATACGAAGTACAAAGTAATAAGGACCAATAAATATCTGTTTGAAAAATTGGTGTCTACAGTCATACGTGGTAAATATTTATGATTGGATAAATAGAAGTATAGCTATAAAGTGTAGCTCAGTTGGTTCAGTGATGGGAAATTTGGACCAAGTGACCAAGGTTTGAAACCCGCAGCGGCCGTGTGGAGGTCACAGAACCTGAAATAAGGCTGGACCTCTGGTGCGCACGGGAAAAAGGCCTATCATCATTGGACCGACTGAGTCAACGTGATTAACATCCTCCCAAAAATCCTGTCGAGTCGGGGTATGGGGGGCTCCTGGGGCGGCGAAAGATTCCGCTTTTTGGACCAAACTTTCTTGTTTGCTAGCTCCAAAAATGAAATGACTACTAGTGGCTCTGCAAAATGTTTCTTGTTAGGCCAACCTACTACCAATTAACTCTTTATTAGATATCATGTCCAAAAGTATTACAATTAAATTTTAGACTGAAATAATAGTTGAAAATGGTGCTTTTACCTTTGTTTTTAAATATACACTTCCATCTCTCGCGAGAATAATATTTGGCCAGAATATTATATTCTGATTTTGTCAAGATGCATATCTCTAAACAACCACCAAGTGATTCATATCTTTTCTGATGAATAAGATAAGGCAAGAGTATTCATTTATATATAAGTAATATACTGCTAGTATTATATAATGGACTCATCACCTGAATAAAGTGCATGATTTACATTGTATCTCTCTGCATTATATAAGTAATATACTCGCATATAATGGATTCATCATTAAAAACATAGTTTGTCTTCTAAATTTCTTCTCACTTGTCTTTTGGGACAGTTCAGAAAATTATTCATGTTTTCATTTTGGAAAGTATTGTGTGGCTAATATTCTTTTGTCTTTCTTTACTAAATAACAACACATTTTCATTTAATTCCTAATGTCTTAAACTTTGATCCAAGTCGGACAAAGAAGAATTTTAAGGCCGAGAGAGTATTTTTAACTATTTTCCTTTTATAGTTATATAAATAACATTGTAATTGTCTACATTTCATACATTACAAAAGAATTACGTGATCAACGCTAATTTGATACAAATTTATTGATGACGTGTCAAAAGAATTAGGAAAAATTTCCTAAATACGAGTAGTTTTGAAATTTCAAAATAGGATTGTCATGTTTTTATTCCCTAAATACGGATTATTTCTGCGAAGTTTAGCATTATCACGTTTTAAACATGACAATTTTTTTTTTCAAATGAGGGTCCTATTTTAAAATTTTAAAAAGTTTTATTGGTTTGGGTAACAATCCTTTGTCTCATTCTTAGCAAGGGGATGAAATAGTATACAATATTCTTTAATATGATTGAACTTGTCTACAACTTAGAGGCCGTTTGGTAACACGACTTATCAGGCTTATCAGTCAACTTTTTCATCAAACACATAACTTTTATTTTCATCCGCTGAATTGTGTAATAATAAGAAAAAGTAAGGTTGAAGTTACTTTTCTAGATGTATTGGCTGAAGTAGATAATCATTTTAACTATTTTTACATATAATTTTTCTTTATTTAAGTAATAAAATATATTTTAAAACTAATTTTTTCTTAAATCAGTAGAATCAGCCAATACAGCCACTTCAGCTAGAATTTCATAAATTTAAGCAGAATCAATCGAATCAGTCGATCTTCGTGTTACCGAACGAGTTCTTAATCGGATGGAAGGGCAATTTCGAAATAATTAAAATCTGCGTGTAAATGACGTTTGCGGTAAAAAAGAGTAGATAGGGTCAAATGAGTGACATGGCTTGTTCGTTGAATACGAAGTAAAAAGTGTCCACCTTATCCATATGGATAACGACGACACGTGGGACAATATGATTGTCACTCTTCCTTTCTCCATATAAATGGTGTTATTACAGACCAAAACTCCATACTCGCATTTTCCATTCAATCATTTCTAAAGCTTTCAGATATTTTGATCGGAAGAAGACAAAAATGTTGGCAATTTTCAAGAGAGGACTGGTGGATCCACCAAAGGAGCTGAACAGCCCAGACTCATCGTTTGGCAACCTCGTTCCACCTCAAATGGCCATCAACAATTTCCTGTCTTCAAATCACAACAATGGCTTCTCTCTAGGGTTTGGTGATCAGGCATTACTGGCCTTTTCCTCTGCTAAACCTTCTTCCCTTTTGTCTCACCAGAGGTATTTTTGTTCAATTCTATTCAATTGTTCATGGAATAATGGAAGCCAGAGCTTTAAATTTATTATTGTAAGATTAGCTCTTAGTCATTTTAAAAAGTGGGGATGCTATTGCAGGTTGTTCTGTGGGTTGAATGAGATGTACTGCATCTTCCTGGGGAGCCTCAACAATCTGTGCTCTCTCAACAGACAATATGGATTATCAAAAGGTGGAAATGAGGCCATGCTTGTGATCGAAGCTTATCGGACCCTCCGAGACAGAGGGCCGTACCCGGCCCATCAAGTCCTCAAGGATCTGGAGGGCAACTTCGGGTTTGTGATCTATGATCACAAAGCTGGAACCGTTTTTGCTGCTCTTGTAAGTTGCTAATTCCTGCCCCCATTCAAATCTTTGATGATAATTACTTTTAGGCCTCTTTGGATTCAAAAAATTTGGAAGATCCCAAATTTCCTCAATTTATGAAACTGGAAGCATGCGCTGCTTGCATTAACCTTGGATGATACTTGCTCTTTGATTCTGTTTGGTAAAGTTTATGTCTTAAATGATTTAATCTGCTGAAATTTTTGTAATAAGAAGTCTTGCATAAAATCTATTTGAGCCAAACAAGTCAACAGTACTTACTCAGCTAATTGTTCTAGTCATTCTAAATTTCTAATGGCCATTTTCTCTCAACCACGGTGATCAAATACCATATTCCCAGTAACTCTATTCTGAACATTGAATCAATCGGAACGAACAGTTAAACTAACTTAACATTGAACTTGAAGTAAATGTTCCATTTTTTCAAGAACTCACTGATTTTTGGGGGTTGAACAGGGCGAAAGCGAAAGTGTGAAGCTCTATTGGGGAATTGGAGAGGATGGCTCCGTTATGATGTCAGACAATGTGGATGTTATCAAACAAAGCTGTGGCAAATCCTTTGCACCATTTCCTAATGGTACATAAAAGATGCATACCAATAATAATAATAATAATAGTTAATGTATACTTTTAGTGAAAGATATCGTCAGTTATATTATCAGTGATTGAAATGGTGGAGAGGTTGGAAATTGCAGGGTGTATGTATCACAGTGGAAGAGGGCTGATGAGCTTTGAGCATCCAATGAAGGAGATGAAGGCAATGCCAAGAGTTGACAGTGAAGGTGCAATGTGTGGAGCTTTCTTCAAGGTTGACCCTTTCTCCAAGCCTAACAACACCATGCCTAGGGTTGGAAGTGAAGCTAACTGGACCATTTAAATCACATTCAAACTTTATATCTGTATTTGTTTTTTCTTTTAAATAATGATGTTGATTTTTGTCGTCCCTTTCTTGTTTCCCTGATGGTTGCTGTACATAAGAGTTCTTGTTTTAAGTTTTAACCAACATGTTTCTTTGTTAATCCTTTGAATGTAATTAGCTTGCTGTGAATCTCTTTCAACTGCAATGCAATTAATAAACATGCTAATATTATCAAGTCCTGGTTTAAAGCGGATCTTATAATGATGGTAGATGTGTGTGTACATAAGTTTTTTGTACTTTGTTATGGATATCTATGATGAATTATTTTTAGTTTAGAAGTTACTTTGTTATGCTAATATATATGGCCTATTTGCCAGTGATGGAAACACCATGGTTGGGAAGATTTGATATAAACAATTATACGAAGTATTCAGTGAATTGAAAAAGATAGGAAAAAGATGTTTACTTTTGAGCATCTATATTGACAACTAGGAAAACTAAAACAGTTCATGTAAAGAAAAATCTTAAAACACACAAATAAAAAACTACTAATTCCCAATTTGCTGGCTAAACTGTGTCAATCACTGCCCGGGGTTTGGGCTTATTAGTTGAGACCTGATCTTCATCTTCATCGCCTGTAACAAACCTTTTCCAGTACCAATGCTGTTTCCAGACCATACTCATCTCTTCGATGGGGATGTTCTTCGTCTCCGGCAAGAAGAAGTAAACGAAGAGAGACATGATAACCACAAAAGCCGCAAAGTAGATGAACAGCCCGAACTTCAACTTGCACAGCATCTTCAGGAACACTTGGGCGACAATGAAGGTGAAGATCATGTTGACTGCGACATTGACGCTCTGGGCAGCCGACCGGATTTCCAGGGGGAAGATCTCGCTCGGCACCAGCCACCCCAGCGGGCCCCACGACCAAGCGAATCCGGCCACGTACACGCAGATGAAGGCCACCACCAGTATGGCAAACCACTTGGGCAAATCTCCCGGGTGTCCGCTGCTTCCAAATTTCAGCCCAATGCAGAGTGTGACTGCAGCCTGGGATATAAGCATCTGAATACCACCCTCAAGAAACAGCCACCTTCTCCCCAGCTTATCAACTTTCCAAATGGAAAACAGAGTGGCCAAAACGTTAACCCCGCCAGTAATCACCGCCGAGAAAAGGGAAGCATTGCTTCCGAACCCGATGGTCTTGAAGAGGACGGGCGCGTAGAACATGATGACATTAATCCCGGTGAACTGCTGGAAGAAGGGAATCAGGATCGCCATCACAAGCTGAGGCCTGTACTTCCTCTGCAGCAGCTTCCTCCCGGAGTTCTCCACTCTCTTGGAAGCTTCGCCGGCGGCGACCAGGTCCTCGAACTCCCGGTCGACGTCGTTGACTCCCCTTATCCTCTGGAGCCTGGCTTTGGCTTCTTCGTTCTTTCCTCTGGCAAGCATCGAGTTGGGAGTGTCGGGAAGGAAGAAGGCGCCGACGGTGATGATCAGGGCGGGAACCATGGCGCCACCCAAACTCAAACGCCATCCCCATGAGATCTTAGCGAAGAAATAGTTAGCCACGTTGGCAATCAAGATTCCCAGAGTGATGGATAGCTGGAAGCCGATGTTTAAAGCTCCTCTGTACTTGAATGGCGCCATCTCCGACAAGTAGAGTGGAATAGACTACAAATTAAAACCAAATTACATCCATAAAAAAATGAGCTTATATGATTGATTTGGATTGATAAAATATAAATGAAATAGGAACCATTTACCATTACAGATATTATCAATTTTGATATTTATCCAAAAAATAAAAAAAAATCTTCTAAATAGGAGTAAAATATGAGTACTAGTTAAGTCCAAAAATATGAATAATTATGTTTTATTAATCCATAAATAAGAATTATTTGGGTCTATGCGAAATATATACTTTCACGATTAGAAAAAAAGGAATCATATTTGAGAAATAAAGTCATGGTGACCCTAGATTTGCATATTGTTTATATATTTTGCTCACATTTTAATAAATTTTCTCAAAGGAAGAATGTGACAATTTTAGCAATAGAGAAAACGAAGTACTACACAATCGTCTCATCTTTCTTTTTTCTTTTGGTCCAAAAAAATATTTCATACCATATTTAGCAAAGTTTGTATGATTTTAAATCATTCTTCCTCTATTTTAATTTTATGAATTTGATAGCGATTAAATGATCCCACTTTTCATGTATCAATGGTAGTGAGAGGGAGATAATATTACTTAAAAGCTATTTTCAGCTATTCTTTATTCAAAAATTTGAAAAGTGTACTATAAGAATTGTGCTTTTACTTTGTTTCACACAAAAAAAAGATTTTTCCATCAAATACAATAACTTTACTTTTTCTAACATGATTTCTTTTATTGATCTCTTTTAGCATGATTTTTACTCAGAAAACTTGAAATAAGGTATATGTATATACCTGATTGGCGAAGCCAATTCCAATTCCAAGTAAAATACGGCCGACGATGAGCATCCAGAGAGCCTGAGCGAAGCCATTGATGAGAGCGCCGGCGAGAAAGACGAAACCTCCGATCATCATGGACGCCTTCCTGCCCAGCTTTCTGGTGACAGATGAGGCAAAAATGGAGGAGAGGAGAGCAGCCAAGTAGAGGGAAGAAGTGAACCAGGTCAAAGTTTGACTGTCAAACTTGCAGTATTGGTTGGAAGAAGAATCTGCCTTCTCCTGCCTGTAAACTCTTGGGAAGAATCTCCCCAAGAAACTGTCCATAGATGTCACACCCCCTATCATACAAGAATAAAACATGCATGCATTAGAACAAAATAAATAAATTTACAAAATGTGAAAACAGGACTAAAATAAAATAAAAAAGAATCTTTAAATATTAGAGGGAAGGCCATAATAATAATACTAATAATAAATATACCTGAAATTCCGATATCGTAACCGAAAATAAGGCCTCCCATGGCGGCGACAATGCAAGTGACAAGAACGTAGAGGGTGAGCTTTCCTGGATACTCCACGCCACCGCCACCGCCGCCGCCATTACCAGCTGGACGGTGAATCATTACTCCACCGGCCATGGTTCGGTTGCTTATTGATCACAATTAGAAACTAATAATTAATTAACGAGTAATAAAATTGAGAGTGGATGGATGGAGGATCTCCGAGCTGAGCGTGTATTTATAGGGGAGAAATTAAAAGGAAAGACCTACGTACTAGCTTAGTCCTAATCCTAATTAACTTCACTGCAGTACGTCATTACCACCGTGGTACTAATCCTTCTGGGACACAATCCGTAGTACGAGTTTGATTAGGACAGTAATGGTGATTTAATACTTTCTGCTACGTACTAACAAACTATAATAATAATAATAATAATAATAATAATAATAATACTAATAATAATAATAATAATAATAACTTCGTATTACTATTATTATTATAAAAAACATAATACTAGGTAATAATTATAATAATTACTATAATGAAAATCATAATAATTACTATCATAATTATTATAATAATTAGTACCAGTTTTTTGATGTTTTTACTTAGACTGCTTTCAATTCCAGATCAGACGTGGATAGTTAATAAATACACAGAGATCAGACGTTTATCAGACCAGAGACTAAATCAGACAAGAAAAATTCAGTCCAAATAAAAACATTCTTTAATTAGCTATACTTTTATCGAAACCTGACTAATTGCACGAATTTGGTCCAAGTGCACATTACTAGAATTATCTGAAACCTAATTACTATAATTAGTTTTTAGATTGTCTTCGAATTGCAACCGTTTTTATTTTAGTGTGAAATGAAAAAGAGTGCCATGGCAAACCATCCACCACACCATACAATAAAATTAGGGAAATTTATCGATATGACAAAAAATTCACAAAATGCTGCTCCGTACTACGTATTTATTAATTGAAGAGTCAAAAACGATTAACTAAAAAGGGATGGAGTAGTACTCCATACAATAGTACTCCCTCCGTCCCGGTCATTTCTTCTAACTTTCCTTTTTGGACCGTCTCAATTAATTCTTCCGACTTGCACTTTTGAAAAAAAACATGCGGTTCACATTCATTCACCTTTTTCTTACACAACTACAACCATACATTTTCACTTTATTCTCACTACCTAAATTTGCGATACCGGTCAAAACCGGAAGAAATGACCGAGACGGAGGGAGTATATAGTACTGCGTATATGATTAACAAATTAAAGTTAAATAAGACACATATGAGTAACGATTAAATTGAAGAGAGAGATAATAACACAAAACACTTAGCATACATGCAAAACACCATTAACATGTGAATAAAATAGTATTTAGTCTATTTTAGGTTTAGTCAAAAGTTCTAAATTCTACCGAGTATATATGATTAAAAGGACTTATTAACATTATCACAATTAAGTACTTCCCCGAGAATTTCATTTTGCAAAAAGAAAAAATCATACACTAATCCCATCCATTACTATAGAGTAGTACGGAATAGTAGGCTAGTAGCAACCAGTGGCGGAGCCAGAAAAACGGTTCAGGGGTCGAAATTCCCTGACAATTATTTGTCACGGACCAAATTCGTGACAATTATTTATCACGAATTTTGTCACGGACCTATCCGTGACAAAACGTATTCGTGACAAATCCCAATTTTCCGTGACAAAGCCCGTGACAACTTTGTCACGGCCGTAATCCATGACAAAAATCCGTGACAAAATGCGAGTTTTTTTGTAGTGCTATATAAAGAATGAAAACGGTGGATCGTTTTTAAACAGTGTCTGAGTTGGATATTTTATATGAAGTTTAGATAAATAGACACTCGTAGCAATAAGATAGGTTGTCTTTGCTCTGTTTTTGAGTCGTGTCACGTAAGTATTGAGTGAATTGTACCTTATTTTTAAAATTTAGAAAAATAATCTATATTTTGCGTCAAATTTTGCTGATTTTACATTTAGATAGTGCTGATTTTCCAGAAGTCATAATTTTTTACTTGTAATGAATTACGGGGGTCATAATATATCAAATCGAAAGTATTTCAGAGCTCTATACTCTTAAATCTAAAGCAACTAGCAACGCTACTTCCAAATTAAACATCGATCTCGTGCAATTTATTAAAAAACCTAGCTAATCCAAAAACATGCATGTACATGTAATTGCTAAAATATGACTAAGTAATTTTTTATTCCTATGATAATTAATTAGGTCGATCTAACATTCAGTTTATAATATACTTGTACTACGGTATATAATACGGAGTATTTATTTTGTTTTTACTTATTGTTCAGCAATGTTTCTTTAATTTGAAAGCTTATTAACCTCACTTTAATTTAAAACGTAACATGGTAAATATCTTCATAATAGAATACCTAAATTCATAAACACTCTTACCTTCTCATATATGAAATGACCTTTTATATATCAGAGTAAACATAGACAAAAAAATCCAAATTAAAAGAAAAACATCAAGTTTTTTATTCTAATAAATGTTGCATGCACTACGTATTAATTATTAGTGTTAATAAGAGTTATAGGATTTGGTATTTATTCATCTGCATGCATATCTTCACATGTAATTAGACTTCCAAAGTTTCAAGGTGTGTTATACTCTCGATCTATACACTGTACTAAACTTCGATTGTACTACCTCGGATAGAACAACTCATTGTTTGAGATTTATGATACTTATTATATAAAAATTCTTAGTTTTGTAATGTTTAATTATCTTTATTCAATAACGAATACTCAATTTTGTAAAATATATAACAAAGGATATTAAATATCAGACACACTAGTCACAGCGTTTACAAACGATGTGAAGTGAATCCAAAATATAAATGTTTATTGACATTAAATTACACAATTCATTTACTTCTTACGTTCTAAAAAGCTTTTATTGCATAGATAATAAACTTTAACTTATTTTAGCATTAATACAAATATAATATGCACTATATATATGAATTACCAATATAATATTATTCTAAAAAATAATCTCATACATACTATTATAATATTAAGAAAAGTGCTCGTGACTCATGAACACTCTCTTTGGTAGACAAAAATTGTAATTTAAAAACCAGTTCTTTATTTTTATAAGATTCATGTATTTAAACAATGTAGAAGTTGATTTAAAAGTATTGGTGAATGTGTTCCTTATAAATTCTTTATCTTCAAATAAAATGTTATATATCCTTTTTCTTTTCAAATTATTTTCCTTTTATTTGTCATTTTTTACGATTTAATGTATCAATACTTTTTTTCTAGAGCTCTTCAATAATAAAATCAAAGGTATAGATTTAAATGTCGTTGTGTGTGTATTAATGAAAATTTTTGAATAGCACACTAGCAAAAAAATCACCCCGCCACACCATTGAAAAAAATACACCGGTGAAAAAATTCAGCCCGTTACACTAGCAAAAAAAAACTCACCCCGCCACACCAGTGAAAAAAATGACCCGCTACTCTAACAAAAAATTTCGCTCCCCTTGACTCGAAATCCTGGATACGTCCCTGCCTCCGTTCTCTTTAGGTTGCAACATTGGACTTTTTGCATTACTCATATATTCTATTTTGACTACATTTTAATTTTTAATGTATTACAAATTAAAATTTTAAAAATATTGTTAAATTCTTATCATCCTAAATTTTCAAAATCTGTTTTTTTTCTTCAATTTTTTTAATAATAAGGAATGAAAGATATTAATGGGCAAACTTGATGCAAACATGAAAAGTGGATTATTACAATTAAAAAGGAACGGAGGAAGTAAATAAAGTGTATGCATGTAACACATAATTAATGTAATAAAATCCATCAGTGTATGCTTAAATCAAGCACTAAAATAAAAAAATAAATGATAAAACTATACATAAATTAAATTGTGTCATACAAATATAGTATAAGAAATTAAAACATTTGCAGGCAATACAAATATCACACAATATTTGTCTTTATATACGAACTTAATTGATTATTATTTTGATGTGATCTGAATGAAAAATTGAGATATGAAATTATAAAAATAATTACTTTAAAACAATATTAATGAAAATTTCTACGTACAGTTTACATTACATACCGGCAGTTGTTGTGACTTGTGATACAAGTATTAATTATTTCTAACCATTACGAACCATGCAAGTACATCATTGTTGTTCATTACAAAACGTTAACACTCAAACTTGTTATATAAATATTTTATTGTACATTGGTAGAATATCCCTTACTATGTGAACACATTCTTCTTGCATAATTGTTTTTAAATTGTAGTTTCATTCTTGAATGACTAACACACATTTTAATTACTGAAATAATAGTGGGTGATTTACTTTAAAAGGGGACTACATCTTGCCTTTATAGGTAGAACGGTAGGTATCTCATTAATTACCGCTCATTGAATTGAGGTCATGAAGTTTTTCTGTTGCATCATACTACTACCTCCGTCTCATTTTATTTATGGATGTTTCTACTTTGATTTGACATAATTATTAATAAAATGAAATACTACGTATGACACCTATTTTTGGACAACTCAAAGAATAAAATAAGACAGGTAAAATTAAATGTGACAAAGAGGGTATCAACTACCATCATTATCTGAATTGAAACCACTTGTGATACAGATTCCGCGGGTTCCAAAACGTAAAAGATGTCTATCTATTCGATCAGCTTCATTTTTTACTTTGCATCATCTCACTTAGAGTATGTTTGGGGGTTAGGTTTTGAAGGGGAGGGATCCTCCCTCCGAAAGTTTGGGGAGGGTTTATGATCATCCCTTTCTTGTTTGAGAGTTTAAGAAATTGGAGAGAAAGGTTTTGGAGGGCTTTTGTAACCCCCCAAAATCCTTGAAATGCTCAATATTTAAGTACCCCGATTTGGAAGTGTTTGAAGGATAATAAATTAAATTATAATTTTAACACAATTTAAAATGAATGCAAGTTCAACTATTTGAATTCAATATACCCTCTTTATCTCTTAAAACTTGATCAAGTTTGATCGGCACTGGATTAATAAAGTGAAAATTGTGTTTAGAAGAAATCAAGAAAAAGAGATCGGGTGCAGATTTTGAACTGTAATTGTCCCTTCTTTTTGTTCACAATCCACAAACTGTGTCAAACAATTGTAATAACTAATAATGAATTATTTCCTAGTAGTATATAGTATATACTCCGGGCTACGAGCCACATAAAGAAACATAGATTTGTGGATTGTGAACAAAAAGGAGAAGAAGATTAGATCGGAGGCATGCAGTAGCAATGTGTTGCAGCAAGGGAGGTATGTAGCGGTCCGAGATCATCGCCGGCTAAGAACGTTGCCACCTTCGGATGATGGTGAAGCTCACTGCTACAGACTGTGATGCAGAGGCGAATGAAAGGCAGCGGCACTGCAGATATGACCAGCGGTCGTCGTTTATAGGTCACATTTTTGTCCATATTAAATTTGATAATATTTTTGTCTAATCAAACTCCGTATTAAGGTCATCTTTTCTAATAATTTTAGAGTTACAATTATACGTAGCATACTTTATACTTTTTCATAAAGCACACATCCCATCGTACAGAAAAAACAATTGAAGAATACGTAACAAAAAAATAAATAGTTCACCATACAACTGAATATTTTATCTTGAAAAAATGACATGTATATTATTAATAGAATTTCCCGGACAAAAATATAAATAGTTATGCTTTTAAGCAAAAATATGATAAATCACTGTGTATGAATCACTGTGAATTGGTCACTATAGACTACAATGTATTTTATAATGACAAGACACTATAAATGACGAGTCACGATGAACTAGTCACTAAATATATCACTTTTTTGAAAATGTTTAAAACAAGTCATATCTTTGTCTTTTAATTTAATTTAATTTAATGGGTTATACGTTAAAAATCATGATCTACACGATATATGTATATATGCTACAAATCAGAAGACATTAACTATATTTAACTATATTTTCATTGTATTATCATAAAAATTTATTTATGTACTAATTTTATAGTTTAATACTAATACTCATATACATAGTACTCATTAGGCAAAATTGTAATCAGAAGACACGTGGACGTTTGCACAAGGACACGTCATGCCTTAAGCAAGTCAACATGCAATTCTTTTTTCCTTGCAAAGTGCGTCATGTCATATACTCATATTTACGTCTGGTACTCAATATTCTAAAAGGCGTAAGGCGTGTCGAGACAGCACGATCAAACCTTAAGCCTTTGAAGCCTAGGCGGGTTTAGGCGGGGCTTAGACGTGAAAAGGCGTTTTGATCTTTTAACATTTATTTTAATTTTGCTAGAGCTATTTTTAATATCTGAGTTTAATATTAAACAAAGTTACTCAAGAACGTCATATTATTCAAATTTTCAATGAAAAGGGATTTGTTGAGTCCTTAGTCCAGCAGATATATCTATAACTTACACACAAATCAGATCTGAAAAAAGTAATTAAGGGATCGCGACCCTTTGTCCCGGCCATTGTAAGCACGTTTGTTGCCCAGGGCATGACGACTTGACGTGATCCTCACTCATTAGTAAATCCTCATAACAAAACGTAACAAAAAAATTCGTTTCGTTAATGATACAATGAATCAATTAGGAATTAGGCTTTCATTAGTCATTAGTTTATTTTATCCGTTTTCATAATTAATATTAATGATGATAATTTTGATAAAAATAAAAATTTAAGTCACAATAATAAGCAAGGTCATCTTTGTTTTTAGAAATAAAAACCCCCTACATAAAAAATATATATGATATTTTCGAGGATACAAGTAGTAAAATTAGTATGAGTAATAATTTGTACGGAGTAGTGAAGCAGCATATTCAATGTAATATGGAGCATTAGTGCTTTGCTACAGAGTTAGTGCTTTGCTATTCGACTGCTTCAAAGAATTAAGGCAGCGGCCAACGAGCAGTCTGTCAACTTTCCCACAACGGTGGTGAAAGCAAATCTCTTCTCCCAGCTTTATAAGTAACCTCCACATGTCCTTATATTTCTTTGTGAAACGCCTTCAAGCCAATCAAGCGTTAACTACGCCATCCGCAGGTCAAAATGAAGGCTAGTATAAGTTTTCCGCCTTTTGTCACGCCTAATGGGGATGCGAGGTGTTTAGTTGGCGCTTCAGGCCTTGGCGCGCCTTGACGCCGCCTTTTCGAGCTTTTTAGAACACTGCTGGTACTCTAAGAGTTAGAGCCCGTTTGGTAGCACGAAAATCAGCTCATTTAGCTGATTCTGCTGAAATTTATGAAATTCTAGCTGAAGTAACTGTATTGACTAATTCTGTTGATTTAAAAAAAATCTTTTTAAAATATATTTTATTAATAAAATAAAGAAAAAATTATATGTAAAAACTGCTAAAATGATCATCTATATTAACTTCAGTCAATACAGCAAGAAAAGTAACTTCAACCTTACTTTTTCTGCTTATTACACAGTTCAGCGCGCGAAAACAAAAGTTACGTGTTTGACGAAAAAGTTAATCGATAAGCCTGATAAGCCGAAAAATAGTGTTGCCAAACGACCTCTTAATCAGGTACTCTCTCCATCCCTATTTCAAAGTGAGTTTTGTATGATAATTAAGTAATGTGCTGGGAAATAGAAATGTGTACAAAATGTTGTGAACCAAAACTTCTTTATCAAAAGGAAAAGGAGATGATTATTTTGATTATTTTGAGATGGACGAAAAAAGAAATTTGACAGATAATTTAAGGACAAAGGTAGTACTTTAGGATATCTCAAGAATGTTGGTATATACTCCCTCCGTCCCTAAATAAAAGCATATGTTTCTTTTTCGGGCCGTCCCTAAATAAAAATTCCCTTTCCTTTTTGACAAACAAAACAGTGCAAAACAGTGTCAAACAGTGTCCAAACAGTGCCAAATAGTACCAACCAAACCCACTTTCTTAAAATGTGTGGAAAACGAATGGATACTTTTATATAGGGACGGAGGGAGTATTGCAGAACATATACTATGATCATTAGAATTGCATCCAAAAAAGAGTGTTGGTTAAAGGGATTCTGTACACAATGTTCCTCTCCCATCTCCCTACAGATGACTTTAGAGAGTGCTATGACCCATACATACCATCAAGTCTATACAACTCGAACCCATGTCCCGCCACACATTGGGCACCCGTATGCCCAACGGCTAATCCACCATATTTCCTTCTCGCTCAGATTTGCAGGAGTGGCTCCTGGAGGCGTGAAGGCACATGTCTGCCTCAAACATCTTATGCACTGCATAAAACAACAAAGCCGCCATAAGCATGAAATATAAGGAAGGCCGGTAGTCTAGAAGCGACTCTGTTGAACAGAGTGAGTGATGGCCAGTGTATTAGCTAGGTAGTTCCAACCATACTGATCCCAGTATATTAGCTACATCTTTCAAGTCCAATATAGATATAATACTCCTTTCGTTCACTTTTACACGCCCCAATATGTATTTTACAAAACTAATAGCAGAGTTATAGGGCAAGTTAATAATGTAGAAAATGTGAAAATGTATGACTAAAATTATGAAAAACTAGGAAAGATAGGAAAGGGTGAAAAGTAGATTTTGGCATAACAAATATAACAAAAAATGCACGTTTATGCCTTTGATAAATTATCATTGCCAAAAAATGAAGCGATTAGATTCTTTTTTATCAGAATCAGTGGAATTTAAACAAACAAGAAAAGTGAGATAAAAGATTTCAGTGCAAAAGGTTTTAACCAACTCAAATATTAGTGGCAATACCTTGTACCAGACACCATCGAGCCCTGTCTTCCATATGGCAGTCACAACATCCCTACGAGACCCCATGATACCAAGATATGCACCGAGGCCAACTGAAGTGTTTAACCCAAAAGCTGCATCCCTTTCCGACATTCTACGCTTCCTTGGCCATAAACGATTGCTTCCACCATAGCGAAGAACATCACAGTGTTCTTCGGATGGGCCACACTCAAATTTCTCTTTAGATGGGCTAAGTGTAAGGTCATCATCAACTGAAGAACCGTTATCATCTTGTGCATCAGACCAGGGTCCACTGTGCACATTCTTCCTGTGCCACTCTTCTGCAGGAGGATGGAGTTCTAACTCACGAAGTAGCAAGCCTGCTGCGTCAGCACCTCTAGGCCGTGGCATGTTCTGCTAGAATATTTGTGAGCAAATAAAATTATTTCTTTCAAAAACTTGAAAAATTGTTCACAAAGTAAATACCCTTGCAGCATATGGTTGGGAGTTAGATGTTGCCATGTTGGAGGAAGAACTTCAAGTTAAGAAAATAGTACTTTAATGCAATAATAGTTTTAAATAAAAGATATAAATGATAAATTAGTACAGTTTTAATGTTTTAAACTCCGGCTCACTTTTTAGCCACATATCACATATGGAGTGTAATTTCATAGTTTAAAAAAATCCTCTCGAAACCCTCCCAAATCTAACTAACAACATATCCATAGGGCCGGTTTGGATGGAAGATATTTGGAACGAAACAATCTTTATGTGTCTGTATTTTTTGAGATATTATAAAAACTGAAGGAATAACATATTAGATAATCATATAACATTTCAACCAGCCTCTATTCATATTGGATAGGAAGGCTTCAAGTATGTTATTCCCATATATACAGTTATGGGAGGTTAAAAATGTTATAAGAATTCTTTGAAGCCCAAGGAGTCAAGGACAAGATGGTAGGATACATCAATCTTATGCGGCGAGGAGGAAAATAAGGGAAGTACCTGCATATGTGGTCCAAGGGAAGCTTCTACGACTTCTGGCAGAACAGTATAGTTCCCATCTATGTAATGAAGCCGGATCTGTATATTGCTGCTCCCGACCTGAGAAACTGGCAATGGATGTGCTAGGCCTGCTGTCCGACGGCAAAGATCCATTAATATAAGAAATAGTACCTTCACCTGCATTTGGTTATATTTATAAAAAACATCAATGACAGCCTGGCCTAGAAGAGGAGAGAGGGACAGTAAATATAATATCTTGACATAGATTTGACATCTTATAAAATTGAAAGGAAAACAGAATATGTGATCAATCTATCAATAGGCGAGAACAAACTGTTATTGACTAATCTAGCATTTCCTCCAAATTATTTTAAATATAGAGCGTAGCATTTCGGAACAAAACAATTAAAGCACCTCGTCGTATGTGTATCCTTGTCCAGCATTTCCGGAACCAATCCTGGACCGGTTAGATAGAACATCATCAGATCCCTTTCCACCAGGGCCAAGCTGACCACTTGATGTAGGTTTGGCAGCAGAGTTGGCTTCTTCAAGTTTTGCAAGAGTAATAGGCTGCTGAGGTTTTTGCATCGAAGAATCAGCATTCCTCTGAGTTGCCCCAATATAGCGCGGCAATTGTGTCCGGCGGAAGAAGAAACAGAAATGCAAAAGCTGACATAGTCGGTGAAGAAAATGGCAATCCCCAATGAGTCTAACAGCTGGAGTTCCAGGGAAAGTGCCAGTATTAATACTAATCGGCATAAGAGTTGCTGGACCACTTATTGGGTTTGGGGCGGAACTTGGGGCACTCTCAGCGCTGCCACTAATCTTTGCTATGGCTCCCTGTACCCATGCATGCATCTGTGTGCTTCCCGTAGAGCTTGCAGAACCACCGCCCTGAGTCCCTTAAAAAGAAGAACATTGGGAAAATATAGCAAGTTAATAACAATTTGACAGAATGCAAGGGCGTCTGACAATGAGTGGCTTTAAGTAATCACATGTGACTCCCTTATAGAGTTACATGAGTGTTGTGTCATCATCTCAACCATTTGATTTATTAGTAGAAGTCTCCACTAAAAAGATAAGTGGTGGAGATCATGCCACAATACCGCATGTGACTCCATAAGAGAGTCACATGTGGTTCATTAAAACAATTGGTCTGACAATGCCCCTCATTAATCAAAACAGGGTCAGTCAGAGGGCCGGCCTTCAATTTATTAGGAAACCTTTTGAGAAAATATAGTAATATACTCCTGTCACAAAAAGTCATTTAGGTCAAGTAACAGTTTTTAGTGTTGGCATGGCACTACCCTTAAAAGTCACCAAGTCCTACTAATATTTTTTGGATTTATTTGCTGGAATGCTGGTTTAACTATGTGCCCGTTTTGTAGGCTTTAGTTTGTGCTGTCAGCCTGATTGCCAGTTTTTTTACCAAACACTAATTGTTGTCACTGAAATGCTGAATTGGCTGATATGAAAACAAAAGTAATGTAGGAATTGCTTTTCTTACTGAAACGGATGGATGATTGATTTTTTTCCATTTATTTTTTTGATATTATTTTGTTTAAAATATTTAACGTAATTAAAATAATATTTGTTGATAATTCAGCATAGTCAGCCAATTTAGTCATTTCAACAACTTCTGCGATTTAAGCACTTCATCCATTTTAGACCTTATCAAACATGCTCTAGATTTATTATATATACCTTGTTTGTTTGTAACTCTATACAATTTACATGCTTCAGCCATTTTAAATGGGATACTCCCTTTTTGCACATTGTCATATATAACTTGTTTGTAACTCGTTTTTGGCAAATCACATCAAAATTAGCTCTGATCAAAAGGGGGGGCTCTTTTTTGTCAACGAAAGCAACTTTTGGGACAAGACAATTTTTGGAACAATGTGGGTCCAAACTTAAATATCAAGGACAAGTACTAACCCTGAGATATTGCAGGAGAAGCAGAACTTTGCATAGGATTGCTCACCATATTCCGACTCCCACCAGTGCCTGCAGTCACAGCATGACTAGCTAACGTGCGACAGAAGCTTGCATAACGCCGCAAACGTGTAATGAAATGAGAAGCTAGATCAAGTATTGCATCAACATAAGCCTGCATTAAATTGAGCAGACAATTACAGCTCAACTCATGTAACTGAAAGCTCTTTTAATGAAAAGCAGATGAAATAATAAAATAATAACAAAGAGAAAAGCATCTACACTTTGTGTGTGAATGGATGAATACTATATGACACCTGTATGCTTGGAACAAAAGCTGGATCAACAGACATTGCTTCAGTATCAATACCAAATAGTGTATCACTGGACGCTTGCCATGGTTCTGGGACCAAAGCTGATGGATTCATTAAAGCTGATTCGATTCCTTTGCCGAGCATATCCAATAGCAATCTTGCTTGCATGTCAAGAACCATAGCCCTGACTTCTTGAGCATTTGTACCTTCTAGTAGCCTACACTTTATCCTGTCTAGGCTCTGAATGGTTCAAAGATTGTAAGTTAAGAACAAATAAAAAAGCATATAGACTAAAAGTCAGACACTATATATAGAGTATATATTAACATCTATTTAGTGTAAAGAATTATGTGTGTGTTTGATTTAATCGAGAATATAGATCTTAGACTAAATAATTTCAATGAATACTAAAATTACATTTTATTCATATAAAATAGATCTAAGGATAGATATCAGGCAAACAAAACTTCATAAGAAACTCACACAATTAAATTATAGTCCATCCATCCCATATGTTTTCCCCCATTTAATGTTTACAGAGTTTTTTAGACAGTGAAAAATATATAGATTCGTTAAATCAACAGAGAGCCAATGAAAATTCCATGAAGAATTGATGAAATTAACAGTTGCTTCAAAAATTAGCTTATGGAAATGAAAGAATAAAACATACAGGCCCATATTGCTGCCGGTGGTATGTAGATGGAAGAGAGTGAAAATCTGCATCCAGCACTGCAATGACGCTGTTCAGTGAAACTGAAACAGACGGAAACTTAATTAGGATGGGCAACTGAGTTATGGAAGTGTATAATCTCAAAAGGCACACAAAATACACAGTTGGAGATGCATAATGGTTTTAGTCGTGTTCTTAAAGTATCCCGATAGTTATGAGAATACAAAAAATAAAACCATACATGCATGCAACAAGGAAGTACGGGGACGCTATTCCCCTGCACCTAGCCAGCAACACCGGAATAACTGAAGGGACGGTAGCGCTGATAGGAATGGTAAATCAATGGTTCCGGCCTGTTTTAGAAACGGAATGCACCTCATTCTATTTTAGGGACGGAAACTACGCAATTGGTATTAGATTGGGTTAAGGTAGGGGACTTGGCTCGTGTCCCACTTTTTTTAAAGCCCAACTGCAAAACTACTTCTCACCCTTGGGATGCGGAACCAGTTCTCCATTAGCTGCAGAACTGCTCATCACTTTTTCATCGTCGCTCATGGTTGTCATTGCTCGCTGAGTTGTCATGGCATGTCAGGCGTTTGCCTTTCCACATATGCCGGCTTGCCACTGCTAATTGAGTCATTTCTGTTCTCCAGAGGTGTCCCTGTAGTTCCTGCTGCTGAGCCCAATTCCAATATTTCTAGTGACAGGCTTGAAGCATGATGCTGTGAAGGTAACTACACAAATTGTAACATGTTTTACTGTTCTTTTGGCGGGACATATATTGTGTGTGTTCTTAAATATATTGAGGAATTGAAGTTCTGCAAACATAGTCTAATTCAGTCAAACAACAACATCTAAGTCAGTCAAATGAAAAAAAAATGACTGATGGTATGAGGAGCTGCCCAATTGGTGAAATATATGGAAATTGCATAATATTAGCATGTTACAAATTATGCTGACAATTTAAATTGGAAAAAGTATCAAATAAGCCATCCTAATATGTACAAAAAAGCAACTAAACCTTTGTACTAAAAAACACCCAATTTAAGTCTATGAACTTGATAAATTCACCTAAATTGTCATTTTACCTCCGCCACATCATTGTCCAGCAACGCCACATCACCACCAAATCATTTCACACCTTGCTAAGTCAGTGTCCTCTTAAGAAGATAAGAATGAATAAACCAAAAGGACACAAGAAAAGCACTTTCCATAAACCAAATCAAGTGGGGCCTCCTTTAACTGGTTAGCGAGCATTTTTCCTAATTCCCAAAAACCAGTTGACTATTCTTCTCCATTTATTACTTTTCATTTTATATTTAGCGAAAATGTTTGCTCCCTCTCTTCCAATACCGTGATTGAATGAACCATTTGAAGCCATTGATGGTCCTAGAAATTAGAGAAAGAATCATGAAAGAACATGTAACAGAGGAAAATTGGGGTACTTCTGAGGCTGAGCTCAGCATTCATTCCCGGCGAGAAGAGGACCGGAACTGGTCTTATACAGAGGTGCACCGTGCACCGGTAAAACTTTGTCATAGAGATGCATCGCCGAGCCAATCCTTCTGCTTGGAATATGAGAGGTATGGCAGATGTTCTCCTGTGTTGTTATTTCCGTGGTTTGCTAGCGCAGGAGGGGAAGAAGACATATTTGAGATGACTCCCTTGAGACAAATAAAGAAACTACATGTGGTCTGAAACCAACACCCGGTGTCGCCGCCTCGCATCCTCCATACCCTCCAACCTTGGCCCCAGAAGGGAGTATGCCATCTCGTCACGTCTAGTGGCTTTCTTAATCCTTACTGAGATGACTCCCTTGATATAGTTTTGTTCTCTTCTTGCTTATTAAGGAGTTGAAACTGGAAAGAAGAAGAAAGAGCTGAGCCTTCCAGTCTGCTCGTAAATGGACTACGCAAACAGGGAGAGGGAGGCACAAGACCATATCCAAACCGGTTGACCTGATATTTTTGGGAAGAAATTCTACATTTGTGTCACATCTACAGCCATGTATGCATTTAACCCGCTAACTTGTTGTTTACCGGCTAAAGTTCAATTTGAGTGTGTTCAAAAAGTTGAGGTGCTTAATCGGGTGATATTTAGGTACAAGGGCCTATTTGCTATTTTGGTAATAGTAGGAGGGTCTATTTGACAGTTTTCTCACTTAAGTTTTTAGAATTACTTATTGTTTAATTTTTGGGATTAAGACTTGCATGTTGTTGTACTAATTGTTTATTTTTTGCCATACCTGCATCTTGTAATTTTCAAAATAGCTGTCTTTTATCCCCCAGTGTAGTTCCGATCCTAATTCAACTTAGGCATGCAGTATGTCACAAGTCAAGTAGTTACAATGAAGGAAGATAAAATACAACTAGATACCAAAGTATGCAACTCATTCATCTTGTACTGCGGTAAATATATTATCACAAAAATGAAGTTACATATTCACCACAGTTACTGATTCCTTAAAAAGCCATAATCATTAATTAAACTTGTTGTTAGATGCAACCATGCAAGATGTTTGGGAACTGGCCCTCTGGAGCAGAACAAACCCAAGGAAGTATAAATAAAAATACAGACATTGATTTAGCTCATGCAGTCTTACCAATGCCATCTTCTGCAGCACTTTGGGTACACCCAACAGCATCCCACCAATCAACTCCCACTAAAAGACTCCACCAAAACCTGCCAAATGATGCAGATCATTTATTTATTGAGTTTTTGTCATTTTCGGTCCTCCGACTATTATGTCGGTGAAACTCTTGGTACTTGACTTCTAATTTTTCCATTTTTAGTCTTCGACTATTGTGCTAGAGACACTTTTAGTCCTTCTATTATGATTTTGACACAATAAGTAGAGGACTAAAAATGTCACCATTATAATAGTTGAAGGACCAAAAGTGTCACTTTTATGAAAGTTGAAGGACTATATGGAAATTTTCAAAGACAAGTACCAAAAGTGTCTCTAGCGCAATAATCGAAGACTAAAAATGGAAAGAAATCAAAGTCGAGTACCAAAAGTGTCAATGGCATAATAGTAGGAGGACTAAAAGTAGTAAAAACTCTTTATTTATTTGATAGGTCATCATCATTACCCCAGTGCCGCAAAGGCTCCCACCTACGGTGGGGTAAGGGGAGGTCGGATGTACGCAATCTTACCCCTGTACTAAAGCAGGGAGAGACTGTTTCCGAATGACCATAGTGAAAATCGCGTCGAAAAATACATGGACTGACTGCTGCTTCACAATAAACAAGCACCGACAGTTATTTGATAGGTAATTGCACTAATTTATTCATCATTTACCCCAGTGCCGCAAAGGCTCCCACCTACGGTGGGGGGTAAGGGGGGTCGGATGTACGAAGTCTTACCCCGGTACTAAAGCACAGAGAGACTGTTTCCGGATGACTCATAGTGAAAATCCCGTCCAAAATTGCATGAACTGACTGTTGCTTCATAACAAAGAATAATGAATCTTTGGCTCCATTGCAAATGATGGAAATAATTTACTATAAGTATATAACTAAAAATGACTCAATATACATCCTACATTGCACACAATTAAAAACTAAATGCAGGCTATAGATACAGGTCCAGTATACCTCTCTGCAACTGCACGTTCCCACATAGCAGAGTTAGCTTTCACCTGATTACTTAGAACAGCTGGTGGGAGAACCCGAACTATCTTCAAGATGGAACAATCTTTGCTAGTGTCATGCCAAACAGAAGCAGAGCAGCAACTTGTTGAAGAGAATGCAGGAGCAGCAATTGCAGGCCCAACATTAATATGGTAGCTACCAATAGGGGTGAAACTTGGACCTGAGAACACATGAACCCCACCACATAAAAAAGCAACTGCAATTTCCCCTCCATGAGCAGAATAAACAATCCGAGCAAGGGTTCTAACATCACTTGGAAGATCAAAAGGATCAAATGTGGCCCTCTTCATCATCTCAATAGCAAGGTCAGAAGCAGTTTGCATATCAGGTGTAGATATACCTGCAGCTGCTCGGGGACTTTTAAATTCTGTAGATGCAGGAATACATCTAATTACTTTACTCACCCAAACTGTCTGTTTAGGGGCTTGCCCACCAATACTTGACGTCGGATTACCAAATATTTGATGGAGAACAACATCCTCCACAGAAGATTCCCAACGTTGAACTCTCCATCCTGTGACTGAAGGGCCTTCATCAGGATCATATGGGGACATGTACTGTCCTGAGTAAATAAAAAAGAGATCAATATTATTTACAGATATAAGACTGATCCCTTGCTTTAGATGTTAACAATATGTCACATCACAGTTTCACTAAAACACTAAAATTTTAAAGTTAGAGAATATGGAGAAATGGATAACTAAACATCCAACAGGACAAAAGTATATCACTAATTAAACCAGAATGCTAGTCAGACTCAGTTTTTTGCCACAAAAGACATTGCATACAAGGAAATGGGAGAGAGAAATGAAATAGGTAGCTCGCACATAAACACATTGGCCATAAATGACTACTCATAAAGCATCTAATCACAAAGACTCCAAAAAAATCAGAATCATAGTAAATTTCAAATGTATCTATAAAATATTCCCTATGTTGGGCATACAATACTTCTTAATGTCCATGAGCCACATGTAAGTAGATAACTAAGACTCATATTTATCCATATTCCAGAACAGAACTTCAGAAAATGTTGCATTCAACCAGCAGACCACACGTATATCCATCCCCATCTATAATCTATAAAAGTGTGTCATGTTCATTTCTCGTTTGTGAGGAATATATTACTTTCTTAAATGACTTACTACACTGTACGAAATTCCAATTAACTGAGCATTGGAATAAAGTTCTCCAAAAACTTATCAGTTAATTTGCAATATTAAGTAAAGACTATAATCTAATTAATAGTAAATCATTAAAATGGTAAACATTTACCATAAAAATAAAATGAACATTATTATGATTTTATGATGAGCATTCATTACACGGTTCTTATACATCTAGACTAATGGTTTGATAGAACACTGATAATTCTTAACTAAGAACAGTAGGAATTCAATAGTAGAATAAGAAGAACAGATTGAAGAGCTTTATTCACCAACTAAACAGATCACAGGGATACAATGCTCAGGGACCATTCGAGATGCCCAATCTCCAAAAGCCAATCTCAACAGAAAATAACAGCCTACCTTCCCCCAGCCTTTATTATTCTATTTATAGTATTTCATCCACGCAGGGATATAGTAATATCACTAGTTAGTTAGCTACTTAACTAACTACCCTCCGGTTCCTCCTGTGATATACTTTATTAAAATATTGAGTAGGTGGCTTAGCTGGATGCCTATCATAGTTCATAAAAATGAAAAGGACATACATGTGGAGCAATAAAAAGTTGAAAAGAAGATACAGTGGCATCTCAAGTATTGCTTTGGCAGATCCAATAATTGAGTCATTTCATCATTATCATTCTGCACACTAACCACACCATGGAGGTTGGTGGCGTACTGGCGTGAAATTAATAGTTTCCAACTGCCAGTGAATGAATTGCCTAAAATTAGCCAACATTATAAGACATGCAAAAGCATTTAATGAAGCGGACAAGCTCAACTTGGACCGAACATGAACAGTACAGTTATTGACAATAGCCCCTGCATGTTATAACTCAGGAAGCACCAAACTTTGACTATACTGCTTGCATCACGTGCTTAATTCTTAATGCTGTTTTAATTGAAGATCGTTGCATCATGCCTGAGAAATGAGTGCGCTGATTCCATCAAGTAATTTTGTAGCCATAGGAACACTAATCAAGACCCATCAGAAGCAACAGATTTTAACTCTAAGCTAATAAAGGATAAAGAAACAATTGTATTGTATGCCGTAGAGACCTGTAGGTAAAAAAAAAAAGAGAAAAAGGAAGGAGTAACGCCAGCATCATTAAAAACTCTAGTTTTTTGTTGTTCAATGCCACTGACCGCAACATAGTTGGGATTAAGGTGATGAAAATGATGATGATTACCCATTATCCTTTATGATTGATCAATGAATGGATAAATAAACTCACAGTAAACCCCTTTTTCAATATTTAAGTAAGATTTCTAATGTTTTCCTTTTAATAAACCTGAAATGAAGAAACACAGCACTAGATCTGAACAGTTTTAAGGCCAATGCCATCTTCTCATAAGATCCTCTTGAGCTCTTAGAGAGTCCTTTATGCGCATAATTAGGTGTGGGCATGATTCGGAACTGGAACCAGAACCACAGGAATTGAACCAGACTGGTGGTATAAGGCTACAATTGTTCCTCTTAACAACCCCGGTTCAAGGGAGGCAGGAACTGTCAATTCTGGTTTCTTTTTTCTTTTTAGTGGACTTCTTGCCCACCAATTGACCAAAACAGTTATAGGCAACCTATAATAGCCATTGTGTCGGGGGTTGAGATTGTAAATAATGGAACGACAAAAATGGCGGGGAACAACTCATGGCCGGAAGCGTTGATTCCGGAGCCAGGACCAAATCAGTCTGTCCATGCCTATGCGTCAAAAGGCAAGTTGGCAAATTTGTAAGCACATTCACTCCCATATAGAAGCTAGTGTTGAATTGACAAATCATGTCCCCGTCCAAGGAACTTACAACCAGCAATCACTACAAACTATTGACCATCTTTGTCCCTCAGCTTGTGGTGATCACACAGTTCACACTAATGGCAGCCAAGGAATTCATCTAAATGATAGCCAAGATTCCTAATATACAAAACCTGTATTCGTAACTTGCAAATTGTTTTTCTTAATAACGTGCAAAAGAGGTACTCTTCTCTAGTTTCTTTAAAAATATCATAGAGAGTCATCTATATATTTAATCTATAAGATGCCAAACATACTCAGCGAGTAGCAAAAACAATATCAGTACAAGATGAATCATACCCTCAACTATCACAACAGCTATCACGTCGCCACCACGGGTGGGATCAAATGCAACAGCAGTGACACCAGAACCCCATGTAGTGGTAGCAGCTGGCTGAGCTGCAGCCTCAGGACTCACGTATGCAGAAAAGTTGGAAACTGGTGAACAATGAAGAACCACTGTGTCATTATAGTCTAACTCTGTATGTGTTTTCCCTTGTTTTACTTCTTGAAATAAAAACTCTTGCCAGCTAAACAAATAGGCAGCAAGAGGAGCAAAGCCGTCCCACAAAGGAGGACTAAGTGATGGTGGAACTCCATTGCTCAGACTTGCCTTCTGAGTTGCTTGAAATTCATTTCCAGGCCCTGACATAACTTGCCAAACAACTACTGTAGATGGATTCACAATTGGGACACCCGCTACGTGTAAGGCTCCAGAATCTGTTACAATAGCATCTGCAGCCATAATTCCACTGGGTCCAACTCCCAAGAGCCCTTTGCTTGTGCAAAACCATTTTGGTTGACCAGTCTGATCAGGTGGCCATTGGGACCAATGAAGCTGAACTGATCCTGATAAGAAGACGGAGCATACACACAGAAAATTTGGCCATCCAGCTGCACCCAAACAAGCAACATGTATTGATTAATAGATCTATGTATAAGCATATCAGTCACACCCACAAAAATCAAAAAATGGCACATGAAAATATTATTGCAATGCCTATCACCACACACGGTAAAAGCATATCAGTCACACCCACAAAAATCAAGGTATGGAGTTAGATAGAATAATAGAACTTGCATGTTTGAGAAAAGTAATAAACAAGCACTAAAAAAGATTATCATCTCAGGTAAAATCACAAAGCAGGTAAAATCTAAATCACAAAGCAGGTAACCAACAAAGCAATCCCAAATACAAACGCCCCCAACCAAGAATCTTAGAGAAAAACACTGTCATATAAGAGAAGTGAGAGAAACCTGTGCGCATAAATGGAATAACAAGTTTTATCTTAGCGCTGATAAAACAGATGTGAGAAACATATGCATTTTTGTCATAACCAGAAAAGGCAGGAACTGCCAAAATGTTACAAGTTTTGAAAGGACCGTGTCATTTCATATACTATCCTCCGTTCCATAAAAGTTGCAACAGTTTGACTTTCACGTTTGCCAACGTGCAACTTTGACTGTAATTATATATATTTACGTATTAGTAAACATTAAAAAAGTTAATATATTGGAAATTTACACTAATACAAATTTATTAATATTTCATACATAATATTTTTATTATATATATTATTAGAAAATCGTAGTAAAAGTAAGGTGTGTGAATAGTGCACAAATTCCAATGTTGCAACTTTTATGGAACGGAGGAAGTATTAATTTAAAAGAAGAGAATATTTTGTATTAAGTATTGAAATAAAAAGACAGTGATATTGAAACAAAATAAACAAATAAATGGGACGATTTCAATTGAGATATGGCTCATCAATTTCCATGCTGACCAACAACGGAAAACAACCAGTGGATACCAGCTAGCAATTTGAAACCTATTTAAAAGACCTAAAGAGGAAGTAACCTAAAGCATGTGTGACCACAAATTGCTAGCAAAAAACAGAAATAAACCTGGAGGCTGTGGTTGATGAGAAAGGAATTTCTCCTCAAATATTGACTTTGTGGCACCACCGGACCTTGATGAAAGCCACCTGTACTACTTTCATGCAAAGCAAAATAGAAAACAAATTAGACATGAAAAATAAAATATGCAATCAAAAGCAATATGTGATCTACAATTGCCTACCGGAGATACACCTGATAACCACTTAGTTACAACTGCAATATCCTGCCGCCATTCATATTCTTTCTGCCAACAGCTAGCATCTCTTACCAAATTAGCTGGACCCTGGGTGAACAAATTAAATGGAAAAAATTGCAGGCAGGAGAATAAAATAAAACAGTATTTAAATATAAGGAGTTAAAACTAAGAAGTTGACGATCTAGAAGTCATGCTTGAACAGCGATTCTCATTTAAGCTACAAGTGCAACAGAGAATAAAATACAAGCGTAACTCCATTAAAGCTGGCATACTTGAGAAGGTTGAGTCCAGATAGATATTCTTCCATGGAAATTAGCAATGAGAAGAGCACGAGGACATGCTGTAGGAGACCATTCAATAAATTGAACCAAGTCACGAGGTGAATCTGAGAAAAATTCAAGGAAACACATCATGAGTTCATGACATCAAATAAAATTGCATAGTTAGGTAACGGCTATGATACTGCAAGTCTGCAGCAGACGCATGAATATATTTTAAGAAAAAGTAACTGATTATCACTTCAAAGTTTCAATGACAGTTCATGCTCACGAATTATTTAATCCAATGGTAAAATCCGCAATAAAACTAATTAATCTAGCCACCAATGAATTGGAAGGCACAACCAGTTTCAATGCAAAAAGAACTGTCATTATGTCTTGATTAATAAATCAGATATTTAAAATTGGTCTGAAGAACAAGCAACGTGATAGAAACAAAAACCCTAGCAGACGATATTAACGTCTGCCCCAGCCTTAGGCTCAAACCAAATCTTTATTCTCTATAATGAATCCTAGTTCACAAGATCAAACCTCCTTAAATACTCCTTACCCTAATAATAAAATACGGCCATCTAGGCCCAGTAACCTAATAATAAAATATGGCCATCTAGGCCCAACAGTTTATTAGAAATAACAATTGAATGAAAGTAATAAAACCCAGCAGTCAACCCAGCCCAATTAGGTCCACTGACAGCGACAGTAAACTAATAACGGGCAAGGCGCGTCCTCCTGAAGCATCGGCCCAGTTGCCTCCTCCTAGAGCCTCGGCCCATCTGCCTCCCACTCCCTAAAAATTTCCTCCCCCTCTAAAACAACCTTGCCCCCAAGGTTGGAGTGAGGAAACTGCTGCTGGCACTGCTGCACCCCCAGTCCATGTCGCATCATCTTCCGACTGACCAACCTACTACACCACACCTGCTCCACATTTGGCCACAATAAAGTGGTGGGTTCTTCTTCTATCACAACTGCCCAAAATTCCACGTCCCTGGTCCGAAGCAGGGCCTGTAGGTCCACCTGTTTCCGGCAGAGTGCCGGGTCTCCTTGTAATACTACCGGCCTGCCCTGACAGTCAAATGACATAGTCATCGTATCCCAGTTGGTCCGGACCTCTCCCAAGGATGCTAGCCATGCTACTCCCAGTATAACATCCACTCCTCCCAAAGGAAACATAACAATCTGTTCGTACTTCGCACCCCGGTAGCGAGATCAACACCCCCTTGCAAACCCCTTCTGATTTTTGGCGATGACTGTCCCCTAGCTGTACACCAAACTTCCTCGTCTTTTCTGCCTTTAATTTGAGTCGTGGTACAAGGGCGGCTGAAATAAAGTTGTGACTTGCGCCACTATCCACCAAGATGGTCACTGTGAACCCCTCAATCACACCTTTGAGTCGCATAGTACGGGAACTCCAAATTCCCGCCATCGAATATACGGGTAAGTCTAGAGCCGCTGCTTGTTGCTCCTTCTGTTCCCCTAGCTGCTCAACCTCTTCGGGTGGGATAAAAGATTCAGTTTGGTTGAGATCGAGTTCCTCATCTTCCTCGACAACCATTACTCGTAAGTGTTTTAGACATTCATGCCCGGGGGTATAGGGCTTCTTGCAACGGAAACAAAGCTCTTTTGCACATAGGTCTGCAAATTCCTGTGGTGAGAGGCGTGTGAACCGAAAGCGATTCACCGGCTGGTCAGTCATGGCTGATCCGGACCTCGAGGTACTACCTGGAGATCGCGCGGAAGTTGTGCTTCCCGCTGCCCCTTGGTTTCCAGCAACTGGCGTGGAAGAGAACCCCGAAAACCCGCCAACTTTGGTGTAATTACTGGAAATGCACTGCTGATCGTTGTAACCCCGTTCCGGTCTCCCTCCGGACTGTACGGCCAAGTCGTCTTCGATATCTCTAGATAACTCCATAGCAGCTTCCAAATCAGCCGGCCGTAGGATTCTTAAGGAACTGCGAATGGTGTCTCGTAGCCCTTTCATAAAGTACCCTAAATAGTGGGCAACACTCTAATAGAAATGAAGCAAGGTAGAAGCAGAAATGAAATTATCTTACTTAGAATCAGATATTACAGAGTATTTATACAGGAAGTAGTCATAGCTAACATAACCGAAGCCTAACAGAAAGCAGTTACATTGCTTTACAAAGAAAAACACGTGTAGTTTTCCTACACTATTCCTAACATTCCCCCCTCAAACTGAGGGTGATTGAGTTGGAAAGTCAATCACACTGAGTTTGTTTCTGAACTCAAGAAAGGTGGAAGCAGATAGAGGCTTGGTCAACACATCTGCAATTTGCTGGGAGGCTGGAATGTGAAACACTTCAAGCTGTTTGAGTTGGACTTTCTCTCGTACAAAGAAAAGATCAATTTCCATGTGTTTTATACGAGTATGCAGAACAGGATTGTGAGCTAGTTGCACTGTACTAAGGTTGACTAAGGTTGTCACAGTAGATTCTGGGAAGAGTGAAAGGAGCTTGAAGTTCTTTGAGTAGGAATTGGACCCATAAAATTTCTGATGTAGTATCTGCTAGACTTCTATATTCAGCTTCTGCTGAAGATCTGGCTACCCTTAGTTGCTTTCTGGACCATCAAGAAATAATATTAGGGCCTAGAAAAATGCATGACCCAGATGTAGACTTCCTGTATGTAGGATCTGATGCCCAATCAGCATCACAAAAAGCTGTGATAGGTAGAGGTGTTTTTGTCAAAGGAAGAGGTTTGATCAGTAATCCATGAGTGATGGTTCCAGAAAGATATCTCAGGATATGCTTCACAGCTTTCCAATGTTCTTGCAAGGGATTGGCCATAAACTGACACACTTTATTTACAGCATAGCTGAGTTCAGGTCTGGTTAAGGTAGCATACTGTAGGGTTCCAACAACAGATCTGTAATGAGAAGGATCAGGAAGAGAATCATTCCCTTCACTGGTAAGCTTACAGGTACTCACCATGGGTGTTTTCACACCCTTGGAATCAGCCATTCCAACTTTGTGAAGAAGATCTCTGATGTACTTGGTTTGGGAAAGATGCAAACAACCATTAGGTAATTTCCTGACTTGGATGCCCAGAAAGAAATCTATGTCCCCCAGATGTTTGAGAGAGAAAGAAGAATGTAAGGCTTGAATGATTTGTTGTATGACAGTGGAGTTATTGCCAATGACCAGAATATCATCAACATAGATTAGGATGTAGATTTGGATTCCAGTCTTGAGGTAGATAAGAAGAGAAGGATCACTTTTGCTTTGTTTGAAACCAGCATTATACAGAACTGAAGTGAGCTTGTGAAACCAAGCTCTTGGAGCTTGTTTTAGACCATATAAGGATTTATGGAGTCTGCAAACAAGGGAGGTGTCCTTAGCTTGAAAACCAAGGGGTTGAGACATGTAGACCTCCTCCTCAAGGTCCCCATTTAGGAAAGCATTGTTGATATCAAGTTGTTGTATAGACCATTGATGAGAGACAGCCAATGTGAGAAGAATTCTGATAGTGACAGGTTTAACTACTGGAGAAAAAGTTTCTCCAAAGTCAAAACCAAACCTTTGATGAAAACCTTTGGCAACTAACCTTGCTTTGAACTTATTCACAGAACCACCAGGATTTTCTTTGACTCTGAATACCCATTTGCAACCAATAACCTGCTTGCCTGGAGGAAGAGACACTAAAGTCCAAGTATTGTTAGCAATCAGGGCATTGTATTCAGATTTCATTGCTGCAAGCCAAGGTGGAGAAGAGAGAGCTTGCTTCACTGATTTAGGCTCTATATGAGCTAACAGTAAGGTGGGATTAAGTCTAGGTTTTACAATCCCAGATTTGGATCTGGTTTGCATGGGATGATTGTTGTGAGGAGGACTTGGAGGTGGAGGAGGATTAGAATCAGATGATGAGGAGTGAGAGTGGGCAGTGTTATCATTAAATGAATTAGAAGGAGTTGACTCAGATTGGGAGGATTGTTGATGAGGAATTTGATGATCAGTGTTAAACTGAGATGGAGTGGATGAAGATGTAGGAGTAGATGAAGGACTAGAAGAAGAATTTGAGTTGTTGGAATTGGATGTAGGAGTGGCACCATTGTCAGAGTGGAATGAAGATGAATGAGAAGGAGAGTGAATTGCTATTGGGGCTGATAAGGAAACTGGGACACTTGAAGATAAACTGGATGGGGATTGAAAAAGAGTAGTGTAAGGAAATTTGGTTTCATCAAATATAACATCCCTGGAAAGATAAATTCTGCCACAGGGAGAGAGACATTTATAGCCTTTGTGATGAGAAGAGTATCCCAGAAAAACACATTCCTTGGAATGGTAATCCATTTTATGTTTATTGTAAGGCCTAATGAAAGGATAGCAGGAGCAACCAAAAACTTTGAGAAAGGTATACTCAGGAATAGTACCATAAAGTTTGAAATGTGGGCTGAGATTTGCAATAGATTTTGATGGAAGTTTGTTGATAAGATGTAAAGCAGTGGCAAAGGCAGTGTCCCAGAATTTGAAAGGCAGAGAAGAATGTGCAAGGAGACATAGACCTTTCTCAACAATGGTGCGATGTTTCCTTTCAACAACACCATTTTGATGGTGTGTATGAGGACAGATAACTCTATGATTAATACCTTTTTCAGTGAGAAACTTTATGAATGATCTGAATTCTCCTCCCCAATCAGATTGGATTGACTTAATGGAGATGTTAAACTGATTTAGGATGTATTGATGGAAGTTTTGAAAGGCTAAGAATGCATCTGATTTCTTTTTGAGAAAGTAGATCCAGGTATATTTGGTGAATGCATCAATGAAGGATATATAGTAAGTGTAGCCATCAAAGGACTGAATAGGAGCTGGCCCCCATAAGTCAGTATAAATCAGTTCAAAAGGAGAATGAAAAACAGTTGTAGATGGGTAAGAGGGTAGTCTGTGAGCTTTACCCAAACAACATGCAGAACAAAAGTCAATAGCATTTTTATTGATATATGGAATATTACATAGATTCAGTACAGACTTAAGGGTCTCAAAATGAGGATGACCTAGCCTTAAATGCCAAATATTACAACTGGAGGTTGACTGAGAGTTATTACAAGTAGATACAAGAGAACTAGGGAACACAGATGTATGGGGATGAAACTTGGACAGATTTGAAGTAGAGTTGTGAGACCCAAGAGCTGGAAAGGATTGAAACTTGTAAAGACCATCTTCACCAAGTATTTCATACAGCAGAACCTGTTTAGAAACCTGGGATTTAACAAAACATTCATGAGGATGAAATTCAAAAAATGCATTGTTATCCTTGGCAAATTGGCTGACACTTAATAGATTTTTGGTAATAGCAGGAACATGTAAGATGTTGTTGAGAGATAAAGAAAGAGATGATTGATAAGGTGAGGGAAAGGATGAAAAACCAATAGACTTAATTTCCAAACCTTGACCATTGCCCATAAACAGCTTATCAGTGGTAGCAATTGGCTCACTGTGTTGGAGATTGAGGGGATCAGCAGTAACATGGTGTGTAGCTCCAGAGTCTGGGAACCAGTTCTGAGAATTTGGGGGTGGTCCTAGTATAGAAGAGTTTGCACAAGCCCAGGCTGCAGTTGGCACAGTAGGGGATGAATTGAGTTGTGAGAGATGATTACCTTGCTGTGGATAGGGATAAGGTGGTTGGTTGGGTGAGTATCTTGCTATATTTGGAGGAAGCAGTTGGTATTGATTTGAGTAGAGATGTGAAGGTGGTTGTTGGTATTGATTTGGTTCGTATTGAGGCTGGTGAAATTGATTTGAGTGAGAATATGAAGATGGAGGTTGTTGCATAGGACGAGAAAGCTGTTGTTTCATAGGAAAAGGATTGGTAACAGTATAGGCTGGATTGTATCTGTGGTAACAAACGAGTGCACTGTGACCATTTTTCCCACAAACTTGACAAGTAACTGAGCTTCTACCACCTGAACGACCACCTCTGCCCCTATTGAAACCTCCACGACCTCTACCTCTGTAGGAGGAGTTGATATTAGAGGTGTCAAACTGAGCAGAAGTATCAAACTGAGCAACTTGAGCTGAAGCATTTTCTGAATTGTCCTGAGCTTCGGTTTTAGTATTTTGAGAGGAAGATTCAAGTCGAGCAACATTAGCAGCAAATATTGTTTGTTGCGAGGACTCACGAAGTTTCTTCAATCGCAATTCTTTTGCTAGCAGAAGACCTTCAAGTTCAGATAAGGTAACAGGATCTAAGATACTTCGCGAGGACACAGATGATATAAGTGACTCGTAATCCTCAGGAAGACCTTCAAGGATCACATTGATGTGATCCTTGGTTGATATAGGCTCGCCGACAGAAGTTAGGTAATCAACAATTGTTTGAATACGAAGCAAGTATTCAGAAATAGAACGATCACCTTTCCCGGTGCTATATAGTTCCGATTTCAGTTGACGAGCTCGCGCGATGATACTGGAGCGGAAGAAATTCTGAATTTCACTCCATAGCTCATGCGAATGCTTGCAGCAGATGACGCGAGCATGAAGTGATTCTGAAAGCGAAGCTAAGAGCCACGAAAACAGCATTTGATCTTGTTGCTCCCAGGTGTTGTATGCTTCGTTAGCTGTTTTCGCTCCATTTTCATCAACTGAAAAACGATCTGGTATCTGAGGACTTTCTATGAACTTTAGAAATTTATGAGCCCGGATCACTGATTCAACATGATGGCGCCAAAACAGAAAATTGTTTGAATCGAGTTTAATAGGTAGAGAGGATGATGAAAAATAATAGGCGAAGATTGATTAGCAATGTGAGAAGATGATTGCGAAGAAGAAGAGGAATCAGACGCAGAGTTCGTCATGGTTAGATCGAGCAATGCTCTGATACCATAATAGAAATGAAGCAAGGTAGAAGCAGAAATGAAATTATCTTACTTAGAATCAGATATTACAGAGTATTTATACAGGAAGTAGTCATAGCTAACATAACCGAAGCCTAACAGAAAGCAGTTACATTGCTTTACAAAGAAATACACGTGTAGTTTTCCTACACTATTCCTAACACACTCAAACCTGGGACCTAACTGGCTAATTGCACGAACATATTCACATAGTCATCCACGGATCATTTCTGCTTAAAGTCGGCCAACCGTTCGAACGTGCTTCCTTTGAACCGAGTATCAAAACGGGCTACTGGCTAATTGCATGAACATATTCACATAGCCATGGAAAACCCCTTTTTGCCGGCAGGAGTTGTCGCCAGCTTTGATGGAATTGACGACCGACGGGCGGAATCAAAGAAAAAATGCAGATAATCCCTTTCAATTTGATTTCAATTTGATGAGTGAGCCACAGAAGGAAGAGAAATAGCTGTTCGCAAGGGAAGATGTCTGGTTTCCGCGACCGTGTCCAAGAAAACCAGTACAGAGCAGGACCCTCCATTGCTACCATGGCTGACGCCATCTTCAACTCAGGTCGGGTTTGATGGATTTCAAACTGCTGGTTGGCCCTGGCGAGCCATCCAATCGGGTCTGCCCCCTCAAACGCTGGTAGCGTCAACGGCGCGGTCACATACCTAGGCTTGTGGGAGTTCTGCGAGTCAGCCGTGCCTCCTCCTCCCGACTCAGAATCAGCCCGCGGTTCCCCCGACGCCATAACCTTCTGCGCCAGTTTGTCTAGGGTTTGTGTGATAGCATCCAACTTGGCGTTGGTGGATTGCACTTCTGCCTTGATGTCCTTCTGTTCCGCTTCTATCACATCCATGCGTTGATTAATGGTGGAACGAGTCATGATGAACGTAGGGTGGTGGATAGGATCCGGCAGGTCGAACCAAGTTGATAGAAACAAAAACCCTAGCAGACGATATTAACGTCTGCCCCAGCCTTAGGCTCAAACCAAATCTTTATTCTCTATAATGAATCCTAGTTCATAAGATCAGACCTCCTTAAATACTCCTTAACCTAATAATAAAATATGGCCATCTAGGCCTAGTAACCTAATAATAAAATATGGCCATCTAGGCCGGCCAACAGTTTATTAGAAATAACAATTGAATGAAAGTAATAAAACCCAGCAGTCAACCCAGGCCAATTAGGTCCACTGACAGCGACAGTAAACTAATAAAGGGCGAGGCCCGTCCTCCTGAAGCATCGGCCCACTTGCCTCCTCCTAGAGCCTCGGCCCATCTGCCTCCCACTCCCTAACACAACGCATCTAGATGAAAGCACTTGGCAATTTCATGGTGCTCATTTTCCAAGCTGGTTATTCGGTGAAAGTTGTTATGGAATTCCAGGTTTTAGGTCTTTATCACAAAGAAAGAGCTTTTCATATAGTACTTTTAGTTTAACAATTAAGCCTGGATCAAGCAATATTTTGTCATCAAACCAAGGATCAGACACATCTTTAAGCACAATATTCTCATTACCACACAATTCTTAAAGTAGTGACACATCCAAGCCACATAATGTGACTAAAAAGTTTATTACCTGCTATAACATTAAAAACAGTGCATTCAGTTGGACGCTCTGGTATCACAATGTGTATCGGGATCCAAAACGGTGGATTTGCATTTGAACTGTCCCGGAACAAAAAATATAAATTAATAGATAACTAAATGTGAATGTGTAAACACTGGAGTTAAAAACTGAAAAGGAATAAGTAAATAAATATTTTAATTATGAATATCCTAAAACTGGATTTTTCTTATTTGTGCTAATTGTGCATTTCCATTCATCAGTATTCAGTGTATAGTGTATTTATGTATATAACCACTCTCACTTTCACATGGCTGAGTAAAATTGAATAATTCAATCATATACAATAGACATGAAGCTGGTGGGTTGGTCTACACATGTAATCTACTGGGAACCTCAAACATGTCAAAATAATGTTCTGACCTTGGGATTCTTGCACAAGTTTCAGATGCACATGCTATGGCATTCAACTTTCCGCACCAAGCAATGGCACTAGGTAAAGATAAGAGAAGAAAGTCACCATCGAGTCATCAAGGCAGTGATACATCTAAATTTTATACAAGAAAATCAATGATACATCTCATAATTATACAAGGCAGACAAAGAAAAAGGAAGAAGAGAGACAATAACAATAGAGGTAGTGTGCCAAGTAAAAAGGTTTAGAGCTTTTTTGTCCAACTTGGTATCCTTTAAAAAGGAGCTACACTAGAGCTTCCTAAGAAAAAGATATGTTCCCTCTCATAATTACATTAATCCCAACCAGTTGGATCACCAGAATGAAACTTATGTTGCAATTAACCTCTAGAATATAAATCATGCAAAAGAAAGCATAGTGAAAACATTGGTTCCCTTTTTATCCTTATTATAAATATCTTTATATACTCTCTCTCATTAAGTGACGTTTAACCATATCTTTATATACTCTATCTCTCGCTACTTTAATGCATATTTCGCACTAATCCTACAAATTTGTTTGTATTAATTATTCCCACATTAAAGGGTACTGTTTATTTATAAAATAAGATGCATTCAATGTTAACTTTTATAGAGATAGAGGAGTCATTTTGCAACATCCTTAATATGTGTGAACTTTACCAGAACATTATTCAACTTGGGACAAGGTAAGTATATTTTGTAGTGCTTGAGAATGCTTCTACATTTAGAGTAGCCGCCCTTCAAATCGAGAACATAGTTTTAAAAGGTGTGAGATATTGTGGCCCATGAGGCGCTTTTGTTAAATTTAACCGAAGTGTGAGGCTGAGGCATGCTCCTCAAGGGACTTAGCCATTCCCCTTTGATTAAACCATATACTTCCTCCGTCCCGGTCATTTCTTCCAAGTTTGACTTGACTCGCAAATTTAGAAAGTGAGAATAAAGTGGAAGTGTATGGTTGTAGTTGTGTAAGAAAAAGGCGAATGAATGTGAACCACATATTTTTTCCAACATAGGAAGTTGGAAGAATTAATTGGGACGGCCCAAAAAGGAAAATTGGAAGAAATTACCGGGACGGAGGGAGTATGTACTACTTCTACAGTTCTACATGATACCCTCTACCCAACTATAACGCCAAGAACACAAAAACACCATAAGTCATTAAACAAGCGTAATGAACACCAACGTCAGTCGCAACAACAACATCCAAGCCTTATTCCCATAAGATTTTGGGGTTGGCTAACATGAATCAATTCATGATATCAGAGCCAAAAAGAAGAAGAAAAAAGAAAGAAAGAAAAAGATAAAAAGGATAAGATAATGATAAAAATAAATATAAGATAAAATAACATAAGAAGGATAAAAGATAAAATACCAAAATCAGTCACAACAGAAACAAAAAATTATTCAAAAACTGGCAAAGGTCATAATACTAACTCGTGAACAGAATGTACACATAAAAGCTATGTTATCTAATCGGTGAGTACTCGCTACTCAAACACGCAGATTGCCTAGTAGATTACTCTTTTCATTCCAAAATCCCAAGTCACTTGTTGAGAACTCAGCGTTTTTCATGACTCAGTGACTTTTTTCACACACCAGTAACTTGGTCATGCTAAAAATGACTATTTTTTCTTTTTTCGATAGATTGAAGCTGAAGATTGTGATTTGGAAAAGTAGGGACTTTAAGCTTTATTTTAATAAACGGAAAAGGAAGATTAAGCTTTGTATTTTGGTGAGTTCTTTGTCTTCATCAGTTCTTATTCTCCAATTTCTTTCTGTTCCTTAGACATTGAGAACATTTTTCTAATATATTTAAAATTTTAAATATATAATGAATTGGCAGTAACTGAGAAGTCTTACCAGGATTAATTTAGGATATAGATTAAAAATTAGGATTGATTAGATGATAGATATTTGTATAATATTTATGATTTATTCTAATTGTCATGGATTATTTTTTTATGCTCTATAGAAGACTCATTAGACTAGTATAATAATGAGGAATCACCAAGTAATCCCGAGTAATAGATCCTACTCACTACTCCATCCATGATTGAGTAGACACTAGACAATGAGTGCCTATTTAACTACTTAACAAAGAAGTGAAAGAGTATAAAATCAACTAATGAGGTAATATAGTAACAGATTAAGAGAAGAAGTGCACGAATAAAGGAGAAAATAGGTACGTGCTCGAAAAAGAGGGGAGCCCTGATGTGCGAAATCTAGAGGCCAAGAGAAGGGGAAGAGCGTGAGAGTTTTATTGATGAAGAAGAATAGATCGAGTTGAAAATCGAAGGACATCCTCGTTTGAATATTACGCAAAATTGTAGAAAATGACAATTTAATAGCCGCAGGAGTCAGGACACTTGATCAACGCATGAAAAGCAATCACAGCAAACTCAATCACAGAGTGTCCCACCTTCAATGCAGCAATACTTTATTGTGGTCCCGTATTGAGGCCATATCCTTAATTTTGTATATGTACCCAACCTATTTGTAAGAAAACGAAAAAAAACTTAGCATCCGACATATTTGTAAGAAAAAAGAAAAAAAATCAATGGTGATATTTTAAGCTAACCTTCTAAAGTAATTATATGTTCATTGCATTCAGCATTCACGTACTATCAATATCAACTACTCCGCAATATTTAATTAAAATTCATTGGACCACCACATACTAGTATTGAGGTTGTACTCTGTCTCTTGCATAGTTGCATCCGTTTTAATTATTCTCAGTTCAATTCTAAACTTTGAAATCTTGTTATGGTAATCAACTTTCGGCATTATAATTGTTTATTTGAAACAATAAATAATCAATACGCATATTCCAAACTAACCCCTGTGTGTTTAGATTATTTAAAAATATAGCCCCGTATTCATATCCTATGTTTTTCAAATTTTCCGTATCTGCATAGCCATATAAGCATGTCAGCTTATCAGCCTCGTAGCAATATCTGTATTTTATACTAGTATAAAACAAATTCAGCCCAACATTCAAAGTTAAATCCAATTCTCTATTGATCTGTGTATGTGAGGGACAAAACCTGGAGTATGTGCGTGTGTGGGAGCAAGCGTGTAGAAAACCAGTGGAATTCATAGTTTTCAGCTTATTAACACTTAATGCTTGGGTGCTTTGTTTTGGTAATGAATGTAGTCATGTACAAAACTAATCAGTTAAGCAGAACCATGTATAATGTGTATGGAAAAAAGAAACTTGTGAAATATTCTATCCGATGAAAAAAAACTTGTGAAATATTCTGTCATTCCAGCTGAACGTTCACATTGCAAAATGGCATGATTATTTAGACAATAATTAGATACGCTAATTTCATTATATTTTGAGAAATATTTTTTATGGGTATATAACATACTGGGTTATTAATAATAAATGTGATGTTATAGATGTATTGTTTTAACTATTTGATGATTAGATTGTTATTTCAGGGTGTTAATTATTTCCTAAAAAAAGAAAGTGGGAACACTCAATGATAAAACGAGGCTGGTTAAAGAGACAGGTTGTTACCAAATCAAATTCCAACGATCCTATTCCACCACCCAAGAAAACACAGATTGTCACCTGAAATTACGGCAGAGCTCAGGCACACTCATTTTATGCTGCAAATTCGACCTGGGCTGCTGGAGGCGGATGCAAAAAACCGTCGCAGGAGCCACCGGATCCTCCTCCATGGGATCGTCCACCGCTGCTACCGCCATATCCGTGTCACCCTCTTTGTGAGTCACCCCTGCGACTTCAGCAAACTCCTCCTTCTCGGGAGTCTTGGAAGCTTCGAGAACTGCACTACAGGCAGCAGAACATGAATCCACCTCAGAGTCCTTAGAAGCATCAGATGGCGCTTGTGGAGATATTGGATTGGCGGTCATTTGAAAGAGAAAATGAAAAGACCAAAAACCCTAATTTATACGGAGTATATGATATAATTGGACGAGTGTATGCATCGACAGAGAGAGAAAGTGGCGGTGCGGAAAGTCGCGAGTTGAAGGCGACAGCAACGACTGTGAGTGCGTAAGGGAGAGGGGTGGGGTTAGGGTTGGTGTGGACTGTGGAGACTGGAGAATGGATTTTTTGGGCGTGACGACACAAATTAGGAGATAGAGATAAGAGAGATTCCAGGTGCAGTTTGGGATTTTCCTTTTAGCTCGGGTTTTAGATTTTACGCGCGCCTTCTGAGGAGAGGGGACTGAGAGAGAGAGTTATGTCTTTTGAAGAGGAGACAAGTCAGACAACCATAACAATTCTTCTTTTTGAGTTTTTCTATAAAAAAAGATTGACACCTCATTCCCGAGGCTCCCAACTCCGACCGGACAGTACGTTGGGAGGATGTAAGTTGGACTATAATCCCAATCTTTTTGAGTTTTTATCACTTTATTAAGGAACGATAATAAATGTTGCTTGCATTTTACACTTTTGTTCATCTTTCTAAAAGTGGATGTCTTTAAGTTAATGAGAAAAAAGTAAAAGTATGGGTAAATTTGTCATTTTATTCTTATTTACATGCCTAAAATAGAAAGTAGAAAATCATTTTGGGACAACCAAAATAGGAAATTTTGTGAATCAAATTGTGACGGAGGAAGTATGATTGCATCCTAGAAGAACTTCCATGTTCAATTCTCAAAATTCTATTCCATTATGGGAGTTGAAAAAATGTTGTACACAAAAAGTTATACACAATTGAAATTGAACTTATCTTTTTTTACACATGGCATAAGTTGATTGTGCTAGTCCAAAGTCAATTCAAATTAAGAACTTTATAGAGTGGTGTCATTCGACAATATAATTATCTGATGCTATTTGTGTCAATTATTGTAAATATTTAAGAAGAATTTGTGATTATTTCCACTTTTAAAATTGTTTTTTAAGTGATTGTACATAATTGCCTAAAACAAAAGTTGATAGTATTTTGTAATAAAAGTGATTTAAGTAAAAAAGATAAGGTTGGAATGTTTGTTAAAAAGTTGATAGCAAATATTCATTTCAACGTTGATCCTAGTCTTTTGAAGTAGAGGATGGGACTCCATCTCTCCTTCAATTACTTCACCTACTTCGACTAAAATTTCGGCCTCAAAACTTGTAGTTATAAAGGCATGAAAATCGCCACTGGTACATTCAATTATTTAAATTAACATGGATAAAGGAGACATGTGATATATCTACCCCTACTCCTTGAAAGTAGCTTTGCAAGGGAATATAATGTTACATGCATGGATGATCCACCATAGTCAATTGTTGTGTGTTAGGAATATATTGTTAGCCGACTTGTGCTCATGAGAGTTTTTTATGTTCACAAATAATGAAGCTAATATGTGTGTTGAATGATTGCAGGTATCAGTCCTTTAAACAATCTACTAATATAGTTGTTGGGTTAATGGCCTTCCAGGACCGGCCCATCAACCCCTAAAGCCCAAGGACCAAGGGACGTACGTGGCTCACCAAAGTCATGCCTCAAGGTCCAAGGGTCAGGGGACATACGTAGCCCAGCATAGCCAGGCCCCAGGGTCTAAGAGCCAGGGGACGCACGTAGCCCAGCATAGCCAGGCCCCAGGGTCTAAGAGCCAGGGGACGCACGTAGCCCAGCATAGCCAGGCCTCAGGGTCCAAGAGCCAGGGGACGTACGTAGCCCAACATAGCCAGGCTTCGAGGCCCAAGGGCCCGGGGATGGACGTCTGGTGGGCTATACTCAAAGGCCCAGGTTGCCATCTAAGAATTGAGTTCAGTTTAGGGGACGGACGTCCCCCGCATTATGGCGGGAAACCAAGATCTTGGCGGGAAGCGCATTTAATGCTGAAGATTTGGTGGTTGGAATCATGTCGCCCACAGCCGGCCACGTCAGCCCCCCAACCACCAGGGTGTACTATAAATAGCCGCATTTATTTCATTGTAAGGGGTTCGCACATCGTTACTCTAGAATTGTAATAGCGTCAGCAGTACGTAGCTTATTTTCAGTACGTTCGGCCCTTCGGCTTGTAACCGCTATATTCAAGGAGATAGTCATTTAATCCATCCCCGTTGTTTTAGTGAGTTCATTTGCTTTCCCCCCATTCGAAAAACCCCAGGTACGTGTTGGGTCTGCGGGTTGAGGGGAATAAACCTCAACAATAGTCTTCCTAGAATGATAGATGACACCATTAATTACCACTATGTGGATTGCAACTCTTCGAACAGCTCTCAAATTGATTCATCACTTCAAACAAATTTTAAATAACTTAATAAACATTTTCTTAACTCACAACAGAGTTAAATTTCGTTGTTCCCCCGCGAGATGAGTGCTTTTCCAATCAGAAGTGTCCATTCCTTAAAATGCGTGCATACATGTCCTTTGACACTAGTTTTCTCTTTCACCTCTCTTTACCTTGATCGTGACTAAGCTTTTTGGATCAACTATTTTACACTTCAAAAGCTCTTATTTTATGCTTCTAAAACTCTATTAAAGTGGGTTTTAAGCTTGCTGAAAACAGTGCTTTAAAACAAGTTAAAACAGCCCATTAGGTATGTATTATTTTTGGGTTTATCTTGTTTTAGTGTGCTAAATTCAAACCTTTTGTTGAACGGATTGCTCCAACTTAAACTTATTTTTTACTACAGATTATAAGCCTCTGAAATAAGTTTTTTATTCATGTCCAAAAGCCCCAAAAGTTTACTCAATGAGGTTGTTGATTTTCTTCATATGAGCACTCTTATTTTTGACTCATCTGATGTTATAGAAACTCTTCTGATTCCTACACAGATGACTTCTGATTTTATACAGAGCCTTCTGATTCCTATACAGAGCCTTCTGATCAACACTCTTCTGATTTCCTCACAGATGGCTGCTCATTGAACACAAAAGCCTGGTGAAGAGTTCTTTCGACTCCTATGATTTCTAAGCCTTCTGTCACAAACTTTAGACTTTCCAGAATGATCCAAACCACGAGATTCCTTCCCAAATCATTCCACAATATATTCAGATCTGGAAATCGATAACGGGTCAATTATTACTATTGGATTTTGAATTTTTCAGATCTGGTTTCTAAACTTATTAATTCCGAATTATTTTTTCCTTATATTGATCCTAGATCGTCACCTATACATTCAGATCGATCCCAATCGATCCAGCCATGATGAAAAAACAGACACTGATTATACAATGGTTTTTAGCACTCTCAAAGCTCTCTACAATTCGATATTCATTCTTCAATAGAACATGTTTTGCTAATCATTTCTTAGAAATTCTTTTTACAAAATTCTAAGTGTTTTCATAAGTTCAATTGCTACTAAACATTTTTGAAAACTTAAGAAACCTTTTTAGTGTTATTCTGGTTTGAGCAATACACATTGATCTTGAATAATTCTTTTATTATATTCTTTTGTGTATTGTATTCTTTACTCAAATCAAGTATCAAATCTTTATATTTTTGCTTGTAAGTACGAAATTGAATGATTCTTGTATTAATTGCATACCTTTTGTAAGTTTTTTTGTTTTCCTAAAACCATTTTTTGAGTTGTTGGTTAGCCCTTTGTAAAACCAACGGTAGTAAGGTTTGTGGTTTATCCCCTTGAAAAACATTGAGTTTTTGGGTTGATCTTCTTATAAAACCATTTGTATATGCTTTTTGGTTGATCCTCTTGTAAAACTGTGAGTTAGCTCGTTGTGAAACTCAACACCCAATGGCAAGGGTTTCTTTGCCAAAACTTTAGGTGTTGTTGTTCTTGATTTCAAGGGAGGTCATATTAATGGATCTAGAAATTCTAAGAGAGGTTCCCTTTGGTATAGGAGCAAGACTACCGAACCTCTATAAATCATTGTGCGCTTTTACTTGCTTTCTTGATTTTACTTTGATTATTTGTGCACACATAAATCTGCTCACTTGCACATCTCCCTATTTGTTCTTTTGATGCACACTTCACACACTTATGTTGAAAGGCTCGCAGAACACGTCACTCAAATGAGTAAGTGAGTCTCCTCATATCTACTAAGTCTATTAGTTGAAGTCACAACCCAAGGCTTGACTCTACTGCTTAAACATTCATTAAGCAGCGGAAACATTATTGCAAGTGTTCAAGCCACACTTGGCAAACTTAGGCATACAAGCTCCCAATTAATTATTCAGAAAACAATATCCATGAGCATTATTATAAGTGTTTTGAAAATAGAAACAGAGGAAGCATAAACCACGTCTTCGCTCTAAGATCCTTCCCGAAGCAACAGGTATTGGTAGCAAGCTCAACTTGTACCTGAAACTGTGAGGTGGCCTCCCCCGTGAAGGGGAGGTCAGTACTTTGAAGCATTTGAAAAGTACAATGACAACTACATTGATTATAATCAATGTTTCAATTTATAAGACCCTCAAATAGAGTGATATCATATATAAATGATATTCCAAATTTGCCCCTAATTATCTTTATAATAAGTTAATTTATCAATTTGTCGGCACGCGGGCCCCTTTTTATATATTCCATTTCATTCATCGTTCACACGACACAATCCGTAGGTCTTATTGTTTCTATGGGACTGGCTACCGCTGTCTGAGGCCTCGTAAGGTCATCGGTTCGGATTTCCAACATCCCGCCCTTGGACTCATACCCATCATCCCGTGGGAAGGTAAGGCCCTTTGGGGTCCTATCTTATGTGTTACCGCTGTTAGAACCTAGTTAGGTCTCCGATTCGGATTCCACCCTAACCCGTGATCACGTTGCAAGTCCATGTTATCCAACCCCGCTCTCTAGAGTCGGGAAGGACCATGGTCCTTACTTATTATCATAATTAAACCGGCTATCCTCAAGGACTACCGAACACGCGCGTAGGCCAATCCTATATCTAGGATCAATTTTTTATTAACTTTATCTTGGGTATCCCTTAAGGCCTACCCCTAGTATAACTT